GCATTGTAACGAAAGTTTATAGTGATGTACTCTTATGAAATTTGCATTTTATTAATATAGATATATCGGTATATTATATTTTAAAAAGTTCGGAGAAGACTGTGATCTATTTATTCAGTAAAGAATAGGGAGGTTTACACCGTCCAGATTCCAAATTAGATTAAATAGGCGGCTTTACTACTAATAACCCTGATCCCTCTATCCCAAATCTCCGCAGATTTCAAATTGAAAATTATTTTTTTTCTCTGCAAAGTATAAGCCTCTTTTGATTGATAAATTATTTTCAATATCAAATCTTTTCTCTCTAAATATTGATTTCTCTATCAAAAGACAGTTTAAATCGCCTTTTTGAAACTTCAGGATTTTTTTATCAAACAATAAATATTTCTTTATAGTTTATATAAAGTATTTTCATTTAAAAATATATATTTTTACACTCGGCAATATTAAAGTTTTTTTACAGATTGAATAAATGAAATATAATGAAATAAATATTTTTATTATGATGCACTAGCGCGCCATCTGTTATGAAAATTTAAAACTATTTTAGACGCGTATAATTCCTTTTTTTTTTTTTTTAATTAAATAATTTCTACTGCCTTTACTGCAACGTAAAAATTAATGGGAGGGCCTGGCTCATCATATTTTTATTGTTTTCGTTTCTCCGTGTGATGCTGAATACTGGTCTGATGTCTTATACTGGAAAATAAAAGAAAGCTGGATAGACCTAAACTGACAATATTTTTATTCAATATCAGAATCTATATCACATGTAAAAGAGAGAAAAAAAAAGAAAAACACAATTTATATAATAGTATGCTAATTTTTAAGCCTTTCTGCATTTAATTTGTGGGGAATAATTTAAAATGACATTTTTTTAGATTTAGTCACACATTTTTTTTTATCTCTAGATACTTTGTTCTACGTTTTGCCAAACTGTAATTCTTGAAGCTGTCTTGAGATGACTTTTCTGGATTCTTTCGATGTTTTATCAAGACCCATTAGATTTTTCATTCTAATTGTCCTCAACGTAGGTTTATTGCTATAAAGAATAACGCCGAATAAATATAATACGAATAATATGCGATGTCGAGAAATTTCTTTCGTCAAAACGTATAACGACCTTTCGAAAAACATCTAGGCTCTTCGAAAGACGAATCATTACAAAGAACGTTGACAAATACGATCTTATATATACATACCTCTTAAATGCTTGGACATATATTTTATACCTGATCTAACAGAATAAAAATAATTTCACAGATATCAAATGTAAATATATGTAAATATTAACAATAAATACAAAATTTGTATTAATTTATGCCTAATTGGTCGTGTCCTTATTGTTTGCAGATGAGCATTGCTCGAGGCAAATATTTATATGCAATTGTACTGTCCTAAAAGCTTATGTCCATAGTTTTCTTCAAACCCATTTCTGAGATTCTGTCCTTCAGTGCTTGGTATATAAGCAGAGAATCGTCCAATACATTATTATATATCTAAGAAGCGGTTTGGTGGATTAAATTGGCGAAACCGCTGGTGAACCAACCCTGCCAATATATATTTTTTCATCGCAATAAGTACAAAGGAATTTGTATTGTATATAAAAGAAACATTCGTGCTCTTTTAAATCCTTTCATTTTTTTCAATATGAATAATATGTATTAACATAATAAATAATATAATTTATGAATCTTTTTCAAGTTTTGACCCTTTTTTTACATGTAAATATTAAATTTTATTGAGGTAACTCGTATATAGGCTTATACGTTTAAGTTATATTTACAATATTCGAAAGATATTTTGAATTGGGTATATAATATATATGCATATATATGTATAATATAATATATATAATATAACATATATATGTGTGTGTCTGTGTGTGTCCAGTGAAAATAGAACGAAATGTAGAAATATCATTTCTTTCAAGGAATAAAAATGAAAATATTCAACTTTAGAAATAAGTAATGGCAACTTTCTCTCACCGTATAGAGGCAGAGAAATGGGGGAAAATCCATCAGGAATGATTGAAGAAATCCCAAGGCGATAACATTTTTAATTAACTTGGCTTAAGTTAAATTTTCACCACTTTAGTTAATTAGAAATCGTTCTCTATACTTGCACCCCTTTAAAAGACCTGTGAAAAGAAAATTCCAAAGTCGTACGTTGGAGAGAAGGTTTAGGTTTAATATATTTGGATCAATTTTATCACCTATATTTATACCTTTTTTGCGTAGGTAAACAAGTATATTCATGCTCTGTTAAAAGATAAATTGATTTAGTTCATTTTAGAATATATTATATATATTAGTTCAATTTAATAGTATCAATTAAGTTATTAACCCTCAAATTAATATTCATGTTAGAATAGAATTTATTAATAAATGCGTGTTCTCTCATTCTTTTTCTTTGTGTGTTGCGATAGTTGCTTTATATAATATTGAATACATGTTATTTTATATATTTTAACAAAATAGGTTCATCTTGGATCTAGGCGAAATTACTTTTATTTTAATATATTGAAGATGAGCCTCTTTCATAGACACTATACTCTTTGTATCATGATATCTTTTTTAATATTTATATTCTCACATGATTCAAATATATATATATATATATTCAGGCTATAAAGAGTTGTAATTATACTGATTCATATCTTGAAAATAGAGAAATCCATGGAAAATATAAAGAAAATATATAAATAAAATATAAAGAAAATATAAAAAGACATATATTGAACCAAAAATATTTAAAACTATTTTTACGAGTATGAACGCATATTAACAGATTTATATATGTGGTCAAATTCAATATATATTATTTTTATTCAATATATTTACATTTTATTATAGCAATAGTTACCCAGTAATTATTTAAATACTAAAATTGTATTTTGGGCAAAAGGTTTATCTCTAATTTGAGGTGTTGCAAGCTTTCGAGCAAATTTTGCTCTTCAATGGGCAAATAATATTATATACGACAATTAAAAAAAAAGATATTTTCCTATATATATGAATGTGAATTTAATTTTGTTGTCGTATTTAATATAATTTTCCTGCTGAAGATAAAAATTTGCTTGAAAGTTTGCAACACCTCAATTAAAAGATAAACTATTTTTAAAAATATAATTTTATTATTCATATATAAATTTTGTTTTATGTTTAAGTTCAAATAAAAAATAGCAATATAAATGTGTATAATAATAAATATATTTGATTTAAATAATAAACACGTAAAAATGTCTAGAACAGGTTATAGAGCGTAGATAGGTTGTCGCAAAATTCTCGAATTTACTTCTGATTTAGATATTTTTTGGTTTCATTCACAACGGCTCAGGAAGTTATTAGGTAGAGTATTACAAATGATTTCTGATACCAATTAAGTTCAGCTTTCGGCAAAAGAACAGCCCTTATTTAAAAAAAATCTAATAGTCAGTCTGAGAAGATTAGTTTTCATGTAAGAAAATATGTATAGCTTTTTGCGTAAGTTATAGCCAAGAATTTTACTTGGAAGACCGAGCATTCAAATTGGTCGTAACTCAAGGGCGACAATGTTAAAGGACTTCAAATACTTAAAGTTTGCCTTTATATGTATATCGAGAAATAGTCAGTCTGCAAGTATATAGCTGGCATTGTAGGTGTACATAGACCATGGAGGTTAACAAAATATCAATTATATATTTATTGTGAATTGATAAATCGTTGATTATTGCGTATTTATATTAACTAAGAATTGAGATTTAAATAAAAATTCTAAAAATTAAGTTGATAGAACTATCTAAATGTGTACTTCACCATGAGGACCATGCACTCGCTTATTGATCGATCATTTAGACCTCTTCTTCCGACAAAAAGAGAGCGAGATTCAAAATCATTAACCATCTCCCTTATTCTCAATATCTAGCTTATCCACTACATCGAAATCCCTAAAAATTTGAAAATAATAGGTTTGAAGAGATGATACCCTTTGCAAATTATTTAAATTTATGTTATTTGAAAGAAAGATTATGAATATTACTTATGTAATATATTTCTTTATTTGGAATTAAAGTGCCAAGCTTTAGCGTTTTCCATCTCTTTCTTAGGCCAAAAGGAAAAATTAATAATAAAGGAATATTGTACTGAATCCAATGTTATTTAAAACAACAAATAATGATAATGTAATAATTGTTGTCACAATATTATTTATCCTTTAAAGAACCAAAACAATATTTTCTATAAAAAGCATAGAGGTTTTAGAAATCCTGTCAAAATATTAGTATAATCAGAAGATATCTATGTTTATTTATTTATCACCAGTTGCAAACAAGACACGCTATATCCGATCTGGATAATTTCGCGTGGAACTATTTACAGTAATTCATATTGTAGTTATGTTGATAAATAAAATATATAGTGAACGATATATACATACTTCTATAATATTGTAGAGTAGAATAAATTAAATAGAATTCGGTGTTGAGATTAAATATAGTTTATTTAAAGTAAGGTTACAAAGAAAAGAATAACGGGAGCTAGCGCAGTATGTTTACAAAAGTTTTGATTATCGCAGGCTGGCGGCGCGCGAGCCGTTCGTTCTGAGCGCGCGCTACCTGTTCCTGTGCCTCCTCCCGCGCATCCTTTCCAAATGGCGATGCATTCATATTTCACAATATTATAAAATAAATGAAGCTTCCAGGATTTTAAGTTTCTTGTGAACTTTTTATTTTCAAGCTTTCGGATTTCAGTCGTTCAACAGGATTATCACTTCAACAACTTAATAATAAATACAACTTTTTATATACACATTATTATATAGTAATACTTAAAGCCTCCCCGCATAAGTTTCTTTTTTGTGAAAAATTAACATTAATTTTAAAGAGAAATATGTACAATTTCTAACTTTTTGGAGGACGTATGAAAAGGTTGAATATATGAAGAGTAATGGTCTATATATGATTGGTTGACGTATGAAAGGGTGAAAATGTGAAGAGTAATGGCGAACGGAAAAATAAAAGTGTCCAGGGGCGGGAATCGAACCCACAACCTTCTGCTTACCGGGCAGGTGCCATGTCCACTAGGCTACCCTGGACGTATTTTTCCGTTCGTAACTAATACTTAAAGTAACTTTTTTTTTAATACAATATAAAGGACTGCGGCGTATTTATTTGATCCTTATTATATATTAATAAAAAATATATTACATTATTTCTGTTTGTAAAAAGAAAATTTAATAATATAATACTTCTCTAACATGAGCCAATTTTTTGTAGGAAAGTCTTATTATTGTTAATAAAAATTCACATGATTAATATGTATTTTTCATATACAAATATCAGATGAAACATAAAAACTTAAAATACTTGAAGATATTCAAACCCGGATATTTGATGACTTTAGTATGCTTCAGAAATCTAAAGAAAGAAAATATTCACTAGGTTGCTATATTTTATAGAATTTACTAATTATATATATAGCAGTATTTAAAAATCTTTAGAAATCCACATTTAATTCGCGACATATTCAAAGCAAATATTGAGAAGTATTAAGCAAATATGGTAAACCAATGTTAACGTTGTAACCCACATTATTGTTGTAGAAAGGTAAATAATCCTGAAATTCTTTTTATTGTCTTAAATTTGTCATTTACACTTACTGCACAACCAAACAACCCGAGTAAATTGAGTTTTTGTAAATGGAGGAATTCTATTTCTTTTAAATGAAATGTTAGATTCTATTAAAACTTAGAAATATTATATATTTTCCTTTGATAAAATTAAGTAATTTCTAAATTTGAATGATAAATGTTTAAATATAACTGAATAATTAGTAAATGTTTTATTTAACTATATAATATCTATAAATATGATTAATTTTGTTTCAATAACTTTAAATTTTCCCTATTATTTAACTTATATATTTGTCAAAAAATGCTCAAGTCATTAAAAAAACTTTATTTTATTTTATAATTTTGGTGTAAAGACGGCATACAGCAGTAACAGCATAGATTCAAGTTGTAAAAATTATTTTTCATATTTTATATTTCAAAACTCTAATGCATATATAATTGTTGTATATATATATATATATATTAAAAATAAATAAGGCATCTCCTGACCATGAGCATATGTGCTTTTTAGATGGCAGAGCGCCATCTAGTGGAGCAAATATAAACTAAACGTTTATTTAGCTTGCTCCGTGATATTTGGCCAACCCAATTTCTTGATAAATCAAGAAAGGCCATCTTATATATATATATATAATAATTGTAAAATAAAATATATGATCCAAAATAAGCATTTTTTGAATAATTAAATATATAGATTGCTCAATTTTAAAACATATATATATATATATATATATATTTTTTTTTTTGAAAACGTTTTGAAAATAGAGCAATCCATAAATGAATATTTAATTAAAAAGCATATATTGGATCAAAATATAATTTATTTTACCAATATTTCAGTTGGCTGAACGCCAACCTTTATTAAGGTGTTAAAACATATTTAATGTGTGTCAACAACAAACTCATCGCCACATAACGTCAACAGAATTAAGTTTTTTAAATATTTTGTTATATTCAATGGGGGAAAAAAGATTGATAAATATATTTATATTATGTGGACAAAATAAATTATATATTAAATATTATTTAAATATATAAAAATATATATATTTAATTAAAAAGGCATATATTGGATCAAAATATCATTTATTTTACCTATGTATATTTTACCATATGCATTGACTATTTGCTGATAAAACGTGAAAGTTAGTAAAACTATATATTCACGTGTTTAAAATATATATCCCCAATATTTAAATTCGAACTCAAAGACGTATAAATCATTGATATGTATGATATATTTATCAGGTGGTATTTAAATAAAATATTTCAATAAATGATTTTGAAATGGAAGCTAGATAAGCTCATCTAGAATTCCGAGACCAGCGTGGCACCTGTATTGCGACATGCCATCCATAATATATCAAAGGTAAACAGCCAAGTTTACAGAGCTTCTATTCAAATATTCCCTTGGTGTATGTGGCTCGGTATGCTTGCAAAGTACCGGCAAATTGCATTATTGAGACCTCCTTTACCTTCCTCACCAACTTCATTAGTGGTGACGCCACTCAGCTGCATTCACAAATTTACCATCGTTTTTCACATAAAGTATGATCATATCCCTTCATTTCTGTTAACTATAGACTTTTAAAAATCTCGTTTTGGATTAAAAACTGAATGAAATATTTTAATGGGGTAAACAAAAATGTAAGTATTTTAATATATTTTTTAAAACTCTATCTTATCTAAATATATTAATATAATTGATGAATCAAATATTGTTCTGTTTTTGTTTTTTCTTATATTTTACTTAACTATAAAAAAATTATATTTGATATTTATTTTTTAAACTTCAAATAATTGGAATTATTTTTCAACATAGTATGTTTATATATGATATCTTTTTTGATATTTGAGAAATATAAATGTTTATTATTAATTTTTTGTAATAAAAATATAAATCGAATTAAAATATATATATTTTTAGATTAGATTTATGTGCCATTTTTAATGAATATTTATATGCATATCAGTCTTTGAAAATAAAATAAAAAAAGGAATAGTGCATTTTTCTTTATATGAAGATTTAAATTTATTTTAAATATTTCGATCCTACTATAGCGGTTAAGGAAGCTTTCGGGCAAGCCCTTCTTCAGCTAATTATATTGTACAAACAAAGAGAGATTATATATCGTTTTTAATATAAATCAAAATAAACGAAAAGAAATTTACCACGCCCCTATCGCCCTCGTTTCAATAGCACCGCGTGGCCACGTTATGTCTGATCCTAACTTCAAATGTAATATGGTACAAAAATATCTTAAAAGAAAGTTACATAATTGAATAAATATAAAGAATCAACTATAAACAGTTCAAAGGATTTAGTGGAGATTTTTAGGATAGAAGGGGAACGTACTGTGATGGCAACTGTATACTTTTGTTTAATAGTTTAGGGTGCTTCATGGTTTCTATTGCTTCAAGAATGAGTCTTTGGGTTTTAGTTTTGGCATTTGTATGGAGGATTCTGGTATTATTGAAGTCTGGAGTGTGTCCGGTTTCTCTGACGTGGTCAACAATTAAGGAGTTTTGTTGACCACGTCAGAGAAACCGGACACACTCCAGACTTCAATAATACCAGAATCCTCCATACAAATGCCAAACCTAAAACCCAAAGACTCATTCTTGAAGCAATAGAAACCATGAAGCACCCTAAACCATTAAACAAAAGTATACAGTTGCCATCACAGTACGTTCCCCTTCTATCCTAAAAATCTCCACTAAATCCTTTGAAATGTTTATAGTTGATTCTTTATATTTATTCAATTACGTAACTTTCTTTTAAGATATTTTTGTACCATATTACATTTGAAGTTAGGATCAGACATAACGTGGCCACGCGGTGCTATTGAAACGAGGGCGATAGGGGCGTGGTAAATTTATTTTCGTTTATTTTGATTTATATTAAAAACGATATATAATCTCTCTTTGTTTGTACAATATAATTAGCTGAAGAAGGGCTTGCCCGAAAGCTTCCTTAACCGCTATAATAATAAAAAGAGTTGCGGCGATATATGATTCCTTCTTTCTAATTTGTCGAAATCCGTAAACCGTTTACCATGAACACCTATTGATATTCGTCATTATGATTTTATATTTAACTAATTTTCAATTGTGTATAGTTATTTGTAAAAAATAATTATGAATATATATGTTTTCGATGCATCTCTCCCATTCGCTTATGCCTATGCGTTTGGTTAAAGAAAGATTATATCCAATAGGGACCTGAGATTTTGTATCCTATAGATCAGTTTAATATATATATATATCGTCTACAAAATATGAAAATACTAGAATATTATCTTTCAAACTCAATTCAAACTCAACTCAACTTGTATAATCACTTTCTAATCAACAGTGCTAAAACAGAGGGAATAATATGAAAACCTATATATTCAATTACACAAATTTTCAAAAATTTTCAAATATTTTTTTCAAAACAATTAACCTTTGCTGGTCATTCTTAATATGAGTAATTGTCAAGATATTTATTTGAATACCTTGGAATGTAAATCAGTAGGTGGTTATACAATGGCGACTAGATTGGCAGGATGGTCACTGAGGAAAGGCAGTAAATTTACTTCTCAAATTACTATCAAATTTTATTGTAATATTAAGATAGCGATGAAGAGAGAGAAAGAGAGGGAGATTGAGATTGAAACTTTTTTTTCAATGTTCATCTAATGTTTATAAGGTTAAATATAAAATAAATATATGCATATATAAATAAATAAGAATATATAAAGATATATATATATAGATAAAAATGTATAAATATATAAAATTAATAGATATACATAAATATAATATACACAAGGTCTTAATTGGTGACACCCACCGCGCGAAAGACTCCGCCACCCACGTACTGCAAGAGTTCTTTCCCACAGAGGCAAGAGAGAGAGACGTGGAGTGGCTACGCTAAGAGGTACTGTACGATTCTTGCATTATTCATCGCTATCCCTAGCTATTTATTGGAGATATGTCCTGAGAGGTAATAGTGGTGTTATTAGAATTTCCTCACGTTCTTGCCAACAACACGAATTTCCAGAAAACATAACAAAAACGGCAATATCTTTTAAAAAATTGGTAAATATGTATTTTCAACATAGTTGCCTGCTTCCAAATTCCAGCATGACAAAACCACTCGTGACACTCAAAGGAAATCCGCATTGCCATCTCTCTTGCATGCTGTCATGTTTCCATATTCGTTTTTCCAATATGTAACGTATATGGATTATGAACGACAAGCATATGGTCTAGGCATGCACATCCACATCTACACCTATCAATTTTTACAACGTGTAGTAGCAACATAGACTTACGTTATAGGAATACATTAAAACCTCTTTCTTTCAATATCACGTCTTATTTATCTTGTTATTGACAACCATTATAGTCACACGCACAAAATACTAATGTATTAATGTCTCTCAGGCAGCATGTGAATATAAATCTACTCTTATCAT